TTTAAAATGGCTTCAAATTTTAAAGCTCCTGCTTCCATTTGATTGACCCTAGCATGCAGACAGTTATATAGGAAATGTAGAGATCTGGAAGAAACCAAAACACCTGGGTTTAAAAATAATTATTATTATATATTTATTGCTTTGCAGCACAAGTGAACAGTGGATGGAACTATCTGCATCACAAATATTGTTACTGCAATAATCCTTGGCTAATATTTCTAGAAATAAAGAATTCTGCACCAGAACTGTGTTAGATCTCCGTGTGTGCATGTGTGTGTCTTTTCTCTCTTGCTCTGGAACATTGTTAGGATTCTGCTTATGTACTCTCACAATAATAATCAGCTGATGGTTTGCCTGCTGCCATTCATTCACTCCATCTAGGGAGATGTGTTAGTGTTTCAAGTAGCATGCTGTGACACCTCCCCAGAAACCACAGTTTAAAATGTCTTCTTAGGTTAAGGGATTCAAATTAGGACAGCGGCAAAATGCAGTAAACAACTGGTCACATGATTATCTACACTGTAAGCAAAGAGGTCATTTCTGTAAGGACAGTATAAGCTTTAAAAAGCTCTCAGAAGAAATGGGAAAGTGAACCAATCCCCCAAATTGGTGCTATGATCTCATGCTTCATTTCGAGACAGATACTGTAGTAGAGGAAAAGGGAGCATGAGGACTATTTTGGCCACAGCTATGCTCACATGATTGGCTCGCTGTCTAGAAAGGAATGCGCTTCTTTTATAAATGGCCATCCTGCTTTTGAAGTGAAATTATATCACAGGGAACAAGTGACAAGACTCAGCCAGGTCCCACCGTTCAGATTTCTGATGCTGGGCCCACTCCAAATGCCGTATCTTAAGGGGAACTATGTCAAAGTTTTATACAAAAGATGTTAGTTTATTTGCACAAAAGTGTGGCTGATCACTCCTGGACACTGTTCATTTGTTACTCTTAATTAGACCTATGGGTGCATTGTGAATTTGGAACATCAGCACTTAGAATATGCAAATTCCTTTGATTTAATGGCCCACTTTTGGTTTTGACTACCAATGGGATTTAGGGCTTAATGTCCCAATGGTTGCAAAAGACCAGCATCCCATGCTACTAGTACATAATTTTAGAATTCACATGCAGGACAACCTACCTCTAGGAAAAGAGACCATGTCATCTCAGCTGTCAGATTATGGCATGTTGTGAAATGGTGATTTAATTTTGTATTTAGGTTGTTGTAGCTTTTTTGGCTATATGGCCATGTTCCAGAGGCATTCTTTCCTGATGTTTCGTCTGCATCTATGGCAAGCATCCTCAGAGGTTGCCATAGATGCAGGCGAAACGTCAGAAGAGAATGCCTCTAGAACATGGCCATATAGGCCAAAAAACCTACAACAACCCAGTGATTCCAGCCATAAAAGCCGTGTAACAATACATTAATTTTGCTTTATTCATATTGTAATTTTACTACCAGGAATAGAGTGTGTTGTTTGTGGGATTATTTTTTTACTCACACACCAGGCAGCTGGCTTTGGGTGCTATGCTCCTTGATCATTTTCTGCTCTGACTCAGGCAGCAATATGTTGTGAACTGGTACCACGGGGACTTATCTTATGCCCTCTTTCTTTGTGCTTCTTCATCTGAAAGGCACAGATGCAGTGTTTTCTGTCTCCCCTCCCTCCTCTTCCCACTACAATGCTCTCCAACAGCTTCTACAATTGTAATATGTAAGACCAAAGGCAACAACTGCTACAGATACTACTGAATACTACTACAAAACCATTTGTTGTTAACTGCTGTCAACCTTGATTTATGGTGATCCCATGAATTGGAAAGGAAACTAGAGAGGCAACAAGCCTAACTTCCAGTGGGAAGAACTGCTACAGCCTGGGGATAGCCAAGGGACTAAATACCCCTAAGGTTCTCGATCCCATTGTGTGCAAACTTGCTAAACATACAAATTTCTCCAAAAAAAGACAAGCAGCAAAGTGTGGCTGTGGGGATTACATATAGACCCCAGTCCCCCTACCAGGGTCAAATTGTTTTCCCCCAGAATGTGTTAAAATGATCTCTAGGATTGCTCACACGTTTGAAGCCCCTTCTAGTTCCTGTAGAAATCAAAAGGAAAAATGCCCCCATGTCTCATAGATGGTTTGGAGCCCCCAGTGGTGCAATGGGTTAAACAGTTCGAATCTGGGGAGAGCAGGTTGAGCTTCCTCTGTCAGCTCCAGCTCCCTATGCAGGGACATGAGAGAAGCCTCCCACAAGGATGGAAAATTATCAAACATCCAGGTGTTCCCTGGGTAATGTCCTTACAGATGGCCAGTTCTCTCACACCAGAAGTGACCACAGTTTCTCAAGTCACTCCTGACAGAGAAAAAAAGAGCAAAATGACACCAACAGCAGCAAAAAAAAAACTTCTGTAGGAGTGAGTGTGGGTCTCCAAGGTCTCCTGGAAAGCTAATGCAGCCCCCTAGTCTTCCACAGTTGCCCACCCATGCTCTAGCAGATTGTGTGGTCATGTGACTTCTAGGAACAACAAAGGAGGAAAGGTATTTTTTAAAGTTTTAAGACATGTTTTTTGAAAATATAAAATCCAGGTGTAAACTCAGAAATGTTTCCACCTTGGGTGGTTCACACTGGTTCTCCATAGAAATTAAAATGAAACTAGGTGGTCTTTAACAAGACAGTTAACTTTATTGAGGCAATTTATAAAGGTGTGCAATTGGCTGCAGAATCAAAAAGTATATTGCTAACCTTCTCAAAAAGAACAACTGAACAATCAGTTAAATATCCAATAAAAAGGAACACTTTTCTCCACATTTTTCTGACACAGGAATAGTGTTACTGTACCAGGCACATAATTACTTTAAAAAATTAGCTGTCAGAATCATGAGGAAAAGTTATAATTGAAGGTTGAAGGGAGTTATTCACGTTTACCACTAAAACAAAACAAAATGTGGTGATATCAGAAAACATAAATAAAAGCTGCCCAAGCAATTTCACATTAGGATTCAATACCTGAGTGGACAAAATCAGTGTTGCCCTTTGAGACTGCCATTGCCAATAGATAAATGTTGGGTTTATCTATTCCAATATATATTTTTTCTAATGCAATTCATTTTAGATGTGTCCTAAGCTTCCCAGTAGAGCATGGTGACTTTCATGTGAGTGGGATGCTGAATTTGCTGTCCAAAATATAAAGGAACTGACCAAGGTGTAGACCAAGGTGTAGAACCGATATTGAGGCTAAAACTTGTCACCCTTGAAGCTCAGGCTAAAATCCTGAAGTCACATCTCCAGAAGTCAATGATTCCTCATGATAAACATTGCAACCAGTGGATTGTTCTAAAAAAGGGGGGGGGGTTCAAGTTCTATAAAATGCTAAGTCAAGAATTGAAATGATATAGACCAGCGTCTATATCATATAGACCTAGGGGTCGGGACCCCCGGGGGAGTCACGAGGGGGTGTCAGAGGGGTCATCGAAGACCCTCAGAAAACACAGTATTTTCTGTTGGTCGTGGGGGTTCTGTGTGGGAAGTTTGGCCCAATTCTACTGGTGGTGGGGTTCAGAATGTGCTTTGATTGTAGGTGAACTGTAAATCCCAGTGACTACAACTCCCAAATGTCAAGGTCTATTTTCCTCAAACTCCACCAGTGTTCTCATTTGGGCATATTGAGTATTTGTGCCAAGTTTGGTCCAGATCCATCATTGTTTGAGTCCACAGTGCTCTCTGGACGTAGGTGAACTACAACTCCAAAACTCAAGGTCAATGCCCACCAAACCCTTCCAGTATTTTTCTTTTGGTCATAGGCGTTCTGTGTGCCAAGTTTGATTTAATTTCATCACTGGTGGAGTTCAGAATGCTCTTTGATTGTAAGTGAACTATAAATCCCAGCAACTACAACTCCCAAATGGTAAAATCAATCCCCCTCCCAACCCCACCTGTATTCAAATTTGGGCGTATCAGGTATTTGTGCCAAATTTGGTCCAGTGAATGAAAATACATCCTGCATATCAGATATTTACATGACGATTCATAACAATAGCAAAATTACAGTTATGAAGTAGCAGCAAAAATAATTTTATGGTTGGGGGTCACAACATGAGGAACTGTATTAAGAGGTCACAGCATTAGGAAGGTTGAGAAACACTGATGTAGACTGTATCTCCAGCTGCCCTAGCTCTAATATGCCACCTAATATGTAATAACAGTATGCCATTACCTAGACTAAGAAGACTGTGCTTTCACGAATCATGTTCAAAGTCTGATAGATACCTCATGTGTGGAGTCCAATACCAGCAGAGCTCCTGCTCAACTTGAAGCAGCTGTAGGATTCACAATAGCAAAATCAAGAATGAGCACCATTGAGATGGAGGGCATAAATCAAAATACCCGTATTCAAGTGCACAAAACACAAACTAGCTTTCTGAAAGTATGCATCTATAGTATGATAACTTCTATAGGGTTGTGTGTGCATGAACAGATAAATCTTCTAATACGCTTGTGTACAAAGAAAGCTTTTAATTATTTTTTCAATTAGTTTTGATGTTGTGCGTGCATGGCTCATATCAGTATGTGTGAGATATCTTCTTGAACCTGTGAAAGGAAATGGTGCTACCCAACCCCACATTCAAGGACTCTATTTATTAGTGTATTGGAGAACATGGTATTCTATGTAATTAGGCTGTGCTAAGTTACACTAAAGTGGTCAGAAAGGAAAATAGAAGAGCTAGAAGAAGTGTTCAAAAGTATCTAATTTAATTCATAAAACAACTTTCTGAGAGCCATCCAGGTTTGAATTTCTTGGATGTATGATGCATTGTCTATGCCAGAAATGGAAATTGTATAGTCCTCTAGATGTTGTTGAACTGCAGCTCCTAGCAGTTCTAGCCAGTATAATCAATAACAGGGTCAACAAAATCTAGAAAGCTGGATTACAGGCAATGCCGTTATAATTATTTTCACTCAATATTCACATAAGTAAAAAATTTCAAGTGCTGCATTGGTTGTTGTAGAAAGATTTTACTTGTATTTACTGCATTCTATCATCCAATTATTTGGGATAATAACGCATAGCAATATGGATATGAAGGTTCATTTCACATAGTTCTTCCATTTCACTCTGCAGAGATATAATCAACAAATAGCTGTATAGTCCTACTTTTAGAGTGCCACAATAATGTATGAGGACCTCAGTGAAACCTAGAAGCACTTAGAGTGTTGGGATGACATCTGGATCAACACCAAAATGTCATGTGTTGATGTTGTCTGTTTGATTATTTAGTGACATTAATATGCATTATGGTTTACAAACAAAACAACCAAAAGCATTGGGGAACTCCAAAGGCATACAATCTAAAAAATATGTATATATACATACAGACACGGAGGGAAGGACTACCATAATTCTAAGGGAGAGGGAGAAGGCTGTTTTTTTGCTAGGACTTGGAGCAATGGGTTCAAATTATAGGCAAGGAGATTCCATCTGAACATTAGGAAGAACTTCCTGACTGTAAGAGCTGTTCAGCAGTGTAACTCTCTGCCTCAGTGAAGGCTCCTTTTTTTGGAGGCTTTTAAACAGAGGCTGGATGGTCATCTGTCAGGGGTGCTTTGATTGTGCTTTTCCTGCAAGGCATGGATTGGACTAGATGGCCCATGTGGTCTCTTCCAACTCTGTTACTCAATGATTGTATGACTTTTTGTTGTTTATTTGTTCAGTCGCTTCCGACTCTTCGTGACCTCCCACACCAGAGCTCCCTATCAGCCGTGACCACCCCAGCTCCTTCAAGGCCAAACCAGTCACTTCAAGGATCCCATCCATCCACCTTGCCCTTGGTCAGCCCCTCTTCCTTTTTCCTTCCTTTTTCCCAGCATCATTGTCTTCTCCAAGCTTGGCTGTCTTCTCATTATGTGGCCAAAGTATTTCATCTTTGCCTCTAATATCCTTCCCTCCAATGAGCAGTTGGGCTTTATTTCCTGGAGTATGGAATGGGATTCTTTGATTAATAAAATGTAAAACTATACAATATAATTGTAAATATAATATAAATACAATATAATCAAAAGCAAACTGATTAATGTGTGTAATCAAAATATAAGCAATTATAAATCAATATAAAACTATAATCTTTGGAAAACAAGCGAGTTTTCAATTGAGATTTAAAATAAAGGGGAAGGAGCCAATCACCATCATCCGCACTTTCCCAGGATTCGAACCTGCGACCTGTTGGTCTTCAGTCCTGCCGCCCAAGGGTTTAACCCACTGCGCCAGGGGGGCAGTATAGTAGATATCAAGGCATTATGGGAGTTGTAGTCCAAAGGCAGAGTGTGCCCAGGGCTTCATCTCCAGGGAGGCAATTCCAAGAGTTTGGAGCAACAAATGCAAAAGAATGAAGCTGAGTCAAAACAGAGGAATCCCTTATATGGGTGGGAAGCCTAGTGTTTCTAGAACACAGATCTTGAACAAGCTGATAAAAAGAAATAAAGGCTAAAAATAGGGGTTTTTTTAAAAAAAATTAAAACAAGAAACATGTACTGAATTCTTGGAAGAATGAATAACCAATGAAGAGATATCAAAAATGTAAATCATAATCAAAATGACAGGCCAAACAGGTAATCATGACAGCAGAATGTTGAGTGGAAATCAGATAACTAACATGAGATAATGGAAGACCAGTCAAAATCAAAGTGGGAAATGACTAAGGCATGTACTAATGTATTAGCAGAAGAAGTCAAAAGGAAAGGTCTGAATTGGGCAATTTTACAAAGTAAAAAAATCTACCAGATTTTATCCATGAAAGCAAAACTGTCCAATTCCAAGCTCATCGAGCTTCTCTTTAGAGTCATGTGGTTTACAGTATAATGTATAAACTATTTTTATTTTGCTAACTAAGGTTTTCTATATATCTACAATAACAAGTAAATGGTAAAGGTTTCCCCTTGACATGAAGTCTAGTCGTGTCCAACTCTGGGGGGGGGGGGCATTGCTCATCTCCATTTCTAAGCCGAAGAGTCGGCGTTGTCTGTAGACGCCTCCACTTTATTTATTTATTATTTATTTCTCGCACTTCTACCCCGCCCTTCTCTACGCCCGAGGGGGGACTCAGGGCAGCTATATGACTGCATGGAGCGCTGTTCCCGTCCCGTCAAAGTGGTACCTATTGATCTACTCACATTTGCATGTTTTTGAAATGCTAGATTGGCAGAAGCTGGGGCTAACAATGGGAGCTCTCCCCGCTCCCCAGATTCGAACCCCCGATTTTTCAGTCATTACTATAACAAGTAATGATAGACAAACTGAAATTTAGAATCAAGCATGATTTATGAGTCCCTCCCAATGAAAATTCACAATTATTTCAAATGCTTGACTCCTGGTAAAATTTTAACAGATGTCAACTCCACCTTAAAAATAACGTTGTTGTTCCCTTGCTGACTTTAGATGTCAGAACATCATGCATCACAATGAATCATTCTCTGGGCAGTTGCCACATGTGGGCTGATTTGTTGGTTTGTTTTTCGCAAACTGAATACGCACTTGACATATTTAACCAAAGGGTTAAAGGAAGCAAAAATGGCAGATGCCACTAGAGGCTGGCTGCTTAGTCTCACCCACTGTGCCGACAGTCCATATGCACCAAAGAAAAGAACAGCAGTAATTCAGAATAAATCTAGGTTTTCATTACCAACACGTCTCTTTGTTTCAGAGTCAAGACTCATTATACATACAGGCATTACAAACAGACTGGCTTATGATCTGGATAATTACGAAGTGGGGGTTGTGGCATCACGAATGATAACTGATAAGATTTGTAAAACCCTTTCAGCAAACTGCTAAGATAGCAGAATGCTAATATACAATGTCACTCTTAGTATCATTTTCCTCCAACACTGAAATTGGCTATGTGAATGAAAACATTCCTCCCGACTGAAAAAGACAAAGCCGGACTGTCAAATATTTGGTTACATAGCCTAGCCTGCTAACACCTGTTGGTTTTGTTATTTTTGGCAACAAGCATAAGAGTCTGGTTTAAGTGCATATTTCATGAGAGTTGCCCTCCTGGCAAGCTCAATCAAAACAAGCCTACCTAAGTTTGAAGTCATTACATTATGCTGCTATGAAATACAGGAATGTTGACAACATTATGAGACATCACAATGCTCTTGCCACACACCAAAGTGGGGAGAAGCGAATCGAACAAGACTGAGGAAGAACATGGTGTTTCATTGCATGCACAAGTCAGAATTGGACCTTTGCCGCTCTCCTCTTTCTCCCAGCACATTCTCTTGGCTATGAAAGAAACTCTTAAAAGATAAAGTTTCTCCCTTCCTCATGCATTGCGCGCACACACACACTCTTTGAATCTGACTTGTTAAAAAAAAAACTCATATAGACCAAAGTAGCCCAATACAGAAATGTTAGTGTTTCTAGAAACTAGTTCTGAAAAACCATCCAGGAACACAGATGAAAGAAATCCAGCTTGAAATTTGGGCTCTAAAGCTTACTTCCTAATTTGTTTGTCAGGGTCTTCTAGGTAGACAGGTTCTCAGGAGTCATGATTAGAAAAGGGAAATGTATTATGCATGATATAAGAGGGAAAACATACCAAGCCAAAAGAAGCATTTTTTGATATAGTTTACTAGAGTAAGAGTCTTTGTAGTTCATACATACACTTATAAAGAAGTCTGTTTTTCAAAAAATACCCTTCCAAATAATTGCTTAGGTTCCTATGGGCTTGTTCACACTAAGGCTGGAGTCCTACACATATTACGGAGAAGAATACTATGATACATATTTCCAGGTAAATACCAAAAGGATTTCACAGTTCATTTGCTTATTTTGGCATCTGATAAAACCAACAGCAACTAAAGATCAAGTTCTTTCATGAAAAGAATGATAATCTCGCAATAATGTAGCAGGTTTGGGATAAGGCAGCATTTCCAGCAGAAGATGAAGTAGAGCTCTTTATGTTAAAAAATACATATGTTTAAAGTAGTTTTTTTATTATGTCAGAAGCGACTTGAGAAACTGCAAGTCGCTCCTAGTGTGGGAGAATTTGTTGTCTACAAGGGCATTGCCCAGGGGATGCTCAAATGTTTTACCATCCTATAAGAGGTTTCTCTCATGTTCCCACATGGGAAGCTGGAGCTGACAGATGGGAGCTCACCTCCATCTTGCAGATTCAAACCACCAACTTTCAGGTCAGCAGTTCAGCTAGCACAAGGGCTTAACCCACTGCACCACAGCAGCTCCGTTTAAAACAGCTGGTTCACATCTAAAAGCAGCAGTCTCATACACACACACACATACACACACACGTGTGTGTGTGTGTGTGTGTAGGTAGGACAGGAAAGACTCATTATGGCTCTTTTTCTAGCCTACCTATTATACGTCTCTTTCTCATCCATATTTCCTCTAGTATTTTGCCAATTAATTTAACTTGCCACAGCAGAGAAAGCTCATCTTTGTATCATTGCTAGACAGAAATCTGGTAGGTCTTTGGAACAAGTCAGGAAGTGATGTGCCCAGTTCAGGACTCTGGTTTGCCCCATTATAGGCTTAGCCAAGTGTTACCTGTTTTCCCCTCATGCCAATTTCTATAGTTGTCTGACCTCAAAGAAATTCTAGTCCCACCCCTTGGCACATAACCACCTTGCCCCTTTGACATCACAGAAATATCCTACTCCAGGTCAAGTTTTGGTCCTCAGGGCATGCAGTACTACTGACCTGATAACCTTGGATTGTCTTTTTTAATGCTTCTCATTCACGGTACAAGTAGGACATTCTGTTTATGAGATAAAATATTCTAGTCCAGTTCTTTGCCATCAGTACAAACAGCTATGCCATTTGTTAAGGAGCAAAAGAGAGATGCTGTTTTCATGTTGTACTTTTTGGATTTCTAGTAGTGCTTCCTTACAACTTGCAACTAACTACCTCATCACACTGAGAGGAGAAAGACTGGGTGACCATCCCATTAAGAGTAGAGAATTGCCCCTCTTATATTGTCAGCAGTCCCTTTCAAATTCTGCATCCTCATCGCACTCACACTAACACATGGAACTTAAAGACCCGTCGCAAACTAGGCTCCTGCGGGAGCAAACCTTGCCAGCACGTCCCTGACGTCATGAGGCTGCGCCTCTCGCCCCGCCCCTTTCTCAGCCTCTTTCTCCGTGCCAGAGTGGTTTTTCCTTTGCTAGGGCAGCATTGCCAGCATATTCTCTCAGTTGAATTCTGCCAACTGAGAGAGTACACCTTCTACCTCTTTTCAATCATGCATGACAGACAGAAGTAGTATAACTCATGTGATGAGATCAGTGTCTCTCCATGCTTGAAAAGAGGCTAAAGTGTCCCACGCCTGGGAAATTTCTCAATGTGATAAGGAATGCTGGACCAGATTGGGCTTTTAGTCTTATCCAGCAGGAACCTTATAATATTAGTGTTGTGACTCAGCTGGAACCACAGACACAGACTGATAGTGTTGTGACTCAGATGGGGTCTGAGAGTGACTCTGACGAGGATGATGGGATTCAGGTTCACAATCAGGTTTAAAATGTTCCTGTTGTAGACAATGAGGAACAGGGTGTGCAAGTTCAGTTTCCTACAGCAGGGAATGATGTTTTTGATACTGAAACTAGCCAGGTGCAAATTGACTCAAAAAAGGAGGACAGTTCTCAGCCTGATAGTAGGCAGGAAGGCAACCAGGCTGACACTAACAAGCAGCCTGACCTTGATGAAATGGGAATCTTAAATTGGGCTGACCATTTGGAATTCTGAGTTCGAAAGAGTGCGAGAATAGCCAATAAGAAGGAGGTCAGAGGCCAAAGAAATGCTTTCATGTATTGCAAAAGGGTATTAAGCAGTGTGTTTGAAAACAAACCTTTGTCAGAGCAACTTCTCGCTCAACCAAGCAGCTTGTGCTCGTTTTCCTGTGTCTGTGGTCTTGGGATTTTGTCATATTCTCATGGGACTTTGTTTTGTTGGTGCCATTTGGAATTCTGCTTTACAGTGTTATGTTTTATTGATCTTTCTGCTTTTTAAACTTTTCATCTTTAACTTTTTAATAAACCACAAAGACTTCAGTCTGTGTGCAGTTCTGGTGATTTCAGCAAGGTGAAACTATTCTGAGGTGCAACAATTACCATATTTACTCAAGTTTAATATTCACCTTTTTTGGTGAAATTACATCACCAAAACTGAGATACGCATTAGATTTGATGGTTCATTAGAATTATATACATAAGCCCACCTGTGTGAAAAGGCCCTGGGGGACCCAGAGACCAGACAGGGCAAAGAGGCTGTTCCCGGCAGTAGCTTCAGGGCTCTATGGTGGTCGGACGAAGAGGAATGCCCTGATGGCAACCCAGTGATTCCAGCCACTTAACTGTGGAAGGGCTGCTAAGTCTTCAAGCCCCTCTGGCCAAAGAAGCAGGAAGCAATGCCTCTTACAGTCTCTCCCTGGGCCAAGGCTCAGCCTCGCATTTTTCCTCCCAGGTAGCCCTTAGTGTGTCTTGCACACCCACCACCGAGGCACAGTTCCCAACTGGCCTCATTCACGAGGCCTTTAAAACTGAGGGAGAGGTTTTGAATGAGGCCAGTTGGGAACAGTGTGAGGATGGTCAGTTTGCCAGCCTTTGCCTGGCAGAGGGGTGTGGCTTCCCGAATAGCCTCATTCATGCTGCATGACTTCCTAATGTGCTATGTAGTGGACACAATACATTGGATGGCAAATCCAATTTTTTGGAATATACATATTCAAAATTGAGATGCACATTACATTTGATGGTGCATTATATTCAAGTAAATACAGGTATTATGTGTTCATTTCAGAAACTGTAAAAATAACTTTTGGGGGTTACAATTCCAAGCACCCCTAGGGGATTTGAGGAGCTGTCATCCAAAAAACAATGCCTGCAAGATTTGTTTTGCTTATATCTGAGAGCATTAAGTTATTCAGATTCTCACACAGTCAGTCCTCTAAGTAGAAGAAAATAAGATATGCTAAATTCATGAACAATGATAAGAATTTGACCATAATGTATCAGTGAAATGTTCCAAAGCAATTATGGGTCCCATCTGTGCCACCTACACTTGAGGTCACACCTACACATGGGGAAACAGTATTCCTTTTCATTAGGACTATTTTTATAGTGGGAAGTCCACAAATGGATTTTCCTGCCATTTTTGGAATCTCTGGAATGAGCTCCAAACAAGGGGGCATCAGACACCTTCTTTACAGGCCTCCAGGAGGGTTCTGAAAAAGCCACATTTGTTTTTGTTGGCTTTCGTTACATTACATTCACTACAGTTCAATTTACTATAGTACAATTTTACCTACAGGTATGTCTACATAGAAGCAAATGCATTGAGCATACTCCCAGGTACACGGATATAGTGGTAAGTGGACTTTATATAAAAAAATAATACAGAAATGTCTACCCTCAATAAAATGTTGCAAAGGTTTACCTGGAGAAATTGATCCAACAACAACAGCAACAACAACAACACTCTTGTAGACTCTGCAAGGAAACAGACGTAATGATGGATCACATACTCAGCTGCAGCAAGAAGATTGCACAGATGGACTACAACCAGAGGCATAATACTGTTGCTCAAATGATCCACTGGAACTTATGCCACAAATACCATCTCCCTGTGACAAAAAATGGTAAGATCATAAGCCTGAAAAATTTACACAAAATGGACATGTCAGAGTACTCTGGGACTTCTGAATTCAGACTAACAGAGTTTTAGAGCACAATACTCCTGACCTCATGATCATGGGGGGGAAACAAAGTATGAATCATCGATGTTACAATCCCAGGTGACAGCAGAATTGTCAAGAAGCAACTGGAAAAGCTTACACGATACGAGGATTTAAAGATCGAACTGCAAAGACTCTGGCACAAGCCAGTAAAGGTGGTCCCAGTGGTGATTGGCACACTGGTTGCCGTGCCTAAAGACCTTGCCCTGAACTTAAAAACAATTGGCACTGACAAAATTACCATCTTCCAGCTGCAGAAGCCCACCTTACTGGGATCTGCACGCATTATTCGCTGATACATCACACAGTCCTAGACACTTGGGAAGTGTCCGACGTGTGATCCAATACAACAGCCAGCAAAGTGATCTTGTCTGCTGTGGACTCTTGTTGTGTTTCAAATAACAGTAATAATAAATGTTATGAATAACACTCCTCTCCCTATGGCTCAAGGCAGGGTAGAACATGGTTAAAACAGACAGACACCATTAAAGTACATATATCGAAATACACAGACACAAATACCGATAAAATGCAGGTTAAATTCACAGTTTAAAATTAACTGGTTAAGCCTGCCGGAAGAGATAGATCATGAATTCTGACAGCTGTAAATGTAGAATGTTCTACGGGCAGAACTTCGAATCATAAGGTAAAAGTTTAATTACTTTTAGAGTTTCTATTTTTGCTTTTTTTTAAAATGAGATAATCTAATATGAAAATTCAACTGTTTTATATTCTGAGAGGAAAGAGTAGATGGGCAATGAAATTTGCAGTTTTCTCTAGTAGTCCAGAGCAAACAAACTTTCAGATGAATTTGATGAATGTAATGATGTGATGTGCATCGAGGACAGAAAGGCTGAATAGAATCCTTAATTTCAAAATATAAACCTTGTATGGGAAAATGAAGAAGAAGAACGGAGTATACAGAAATAAAATCTCAGATGGAGAAATTGTCTCTGGTGAAGGAAAGATAGATGTGCTTTCCCATGCATGCAGCTGCCAAGCAGAGTGAAGAAACAAAACACCTTTTGTGCGGGTTCATTTACTATAGATCAACAGGGCATTAGCAATGCAGTGAGCTGTTTATATAGAAAAAGCAGCAGGCTGTCGGATGTCGAACACAGTCACAGTAATAGTTATTCAGAGAACTCACTTGGAATATATATGCGTGTCTCTGTGTGTGTGTGTGTGTGTGTGTGTGTATGTGTGTGTGTGTGTATGTATATATATATATATATATATATATATATATATATATATATATGGAATAACGTGGGAGAGGGAAATATATTAAATGCAAAATACCAAAGATGAAAAGCAGTAGGAGAAATGCAAGATCAAAATCAGTCCTGAGTTAACACATGCGGCAACTATGGTTATATAACCCGGGGGAAAGGGTGATTAATTTTCATTAAATCAAATTGTGAACATAAAAAATCTCATGACTTTAATATGCCAATGAGTCAAAGAATTCATATTGTAAGCTATATCGTTACTAGTAGGGGAGGGGTTTTTATTTATATTCAGTTGCTGTCACTGCTACTGATGCTTTCGTTGTTTCTTTTGACATGTTTGTACTTCTATGGTACCGGATATATATGAAATCTTTACGGCACTATAAAAGTTTGTTCAATATAAAAACATAGCATAAGAGAACCATTTCACATTGATACTCCAAATGACAATCTTAAAAACAAAAATAGACCATCAAGTGTATTTACATCACACATACATAAATACACACAGTTAAAGAATCTTTTAAAAAATAGTTGGTACCATAAATTAAGTTGTCAGATCCACACAAACTGGATAAGTTGCTAGGTTACCCAATGTAAGTTAGAAAAAAAACCACAGGATTTATAGAAGAGGAAGGTCATAGTGGAACACAAGTTATTACACCTCTGGGAATGTCTCTGAAAGGATGTCTCTAGAACAGAAAGCCTTTAGATACCTCTGAGATAGACTGTAAACCCTTCTGTGAGAATGACTACTGAAAGTCTCTGATAACCACCAGCTAAGCAACCTAAGGTGCTTGAACTACAGGGAAGCTTTCAAATACAGCTGCATGGTTTTTTCTTGTGATGGTGCTACCAAAAGTCCTTTTATCACTTAATTGTCTCATTTTTAAAAAGTTGCATCTTCCATTCAGCCAACCTAGTTCATGAATAAGGGCCTCTTCACACTGGGCATTTTTGCCCCGTTTGGCCGTTTTTTAATCGCTGCAAGGATGGGACCTGCTGTGTGCCATCACACAACACATGGTCCCACCCACATTCCTCCTAAAGTGTGTGTGTATGGGGGGGGGGGAGGGGAGCTCCGAAAGGTGCTTCCTCCATCATTATGGGGAAGAAAGTGTGGGTAGTGCCATCAGAGCTACAAGTACATTTTGGTTAGTTCCAAGAGCGCTACCTGCACTTTCCTCACCTTTTCTCCATATGATGGGGGAAAAGGCAGCAGGGAAATGCACATTGCCACCCTTTGGCTCATCTGATGGGGACAGGGTACGAATGCACCCTATCCCGCCCCAAACATGTGATGGGGTTAGGAGGGAGGGCACGCGGGGCGCCACAAGCCACCCTGTGCACCTTCCCTTTCTGCCGGTCCTACACACCTTATACTGTAGCCTCTAAAGATGAATAGCCAAGTAATTCTATGGAAAGGACTTCCCTATTGCAGACGTACAGGCAGTCCCCAAGTTACAAACATCCAACTTACAAACGATTCACAGTCAAGAACGGGGGTGGGACAAAGGAAGTGACAAATAGCCAACACCTGTAGGGAAAAGGTCCGCAAGGCTAAAGCAAAAAATGAGCTCAGACTTGCCAGGGACATTAAAAACAATAAAAAGGGCTTCTATTCTTATGTCAGTAGAAAAAGGAAAAACAAGGAGGCGATAGGACCTCTTCGAGGAGAAGATGGGGCAATGCTGACAGGGGATAGGGAAAAGGCAGAACTACTTAATGCCTTCTTTGCCTCGGTCTTCTCACAAAAAGAGTCTTCAACCTCAGCAAGATGGAGTGGATGAGGGATTGGAGGACATCCAACCCCAAATTGGGAAAGAAGTCGTCCAGGAATACCTGGCCGCTTAATGAGTTCAAGTCCCCAGGGCCAGATCAACTACACCCCAGAGTATTGAAGGAACTAGCGGAAGTCATTTCGGAACCATTGGCAACCATCTTTGAGAGTTCTTGGAGAACGGGAGAAGTTCCAGCAGATTGGAGGAGGGCCAATGTGGTCCCAATCTTCAAGAAGGGAAAAAAGGATGACCCAAACAACTACCGTCCGGTCAGTCTCACGTCGATACCGGGCAAGATTCTGGAAAAGATTGTTAAGGAAGCGGTCTGCAAACACTTAGAAACAAATGCAGTCATCGCTAATAGTCAACATGGATTTATCAAAAACAAGTCATGCCAGACTAATCTGATCTCTTTCTTCGATAGAGCTACAAGCTGGGTAGATGCGGGGAACGCCGTGGATGTAGCGTACCTGGATTTCAGTAAGGCCTTCGACAAGGTCCCCCATGACCTTCTGGCAAGGAAACTAGTCCAATGTGGGCTAGGCAAAACTACGGTGAGGTGGATCTGTAATTGGTTAAGTGGACGAACACAGAGAGTGCTCACTAATGCTTCCTCTTCATCTTGGAAAGAAGTGACGAGCGGAGTGCCGCAGGGTTCCGTCCTGGGCCCGGTCCTGTTCAACATCTTTATTAACGACTTAGATGAAGGGCTAGAAGGCATGATCATCAAGTTTGCAGATGACACCAAATTGGGAGGGATAGCCAATAGTCCAGAGGACAGGAGCAGAATTCAAAACGATCTTGACAGATTAGAGAGATGGGCCAAAACTAACAAAATGAAGTTCAACAGTGACAAATGCAAGATACTCCACTTTGGCAGAAAAAATGAAATGCAAAGATACAGAATGGGTGACGCCTGGCTCGAGAGCAGTACGTGTGAAAAAGATCTTGGAGTCCTCGTGGACAATAAGTTAAACATGAGCCAACAATGTGATGTGGCGGCAAAAAAAGCCAATGGGATTTTGGCCTGCATCAATAGGAGCATAGTGTCCAGATCTAAGGAAGTAATGCTACCCCTCTATTCTGCTTTGGTTAGACCACATCTGGAATATTGTGTCCAATTCTGGGCACCACAATTCAAGAGAGATATTGACAAGCTGGAATGTGTCCAGAGGAGGGCGACTAAAATGATCAAGGGTCTGGAGAACAAGCCCTATGAGGGAACTGGGCATGTTTAGCCTGAAGAAGAGAAGGCTGAGAGGAGATATGATAGCCATGTATAAATATGTGAGAGGAAGCCACAGGGAGGAGGAAGCAAGCTTGTTTTCTGCTTCCTTGGAGACTAGGACGCGGAACAATGGCTTCAAACTACAAGAGAGGAGATTCCATCTGAACAGAGGAAGAACTTCCTGACTGTGAGAGCCGTTCAGCAGTGGAACTCTCTGCCCCGGAGTGTGGTGGAGGCTCCTTCTTTGGAAGCTTTTAAACAGAGGCTGGATGGCCATCTGTCAGGGGTGATTTGAATGCAATATTCCTGCTTCTTGGCAGAATGGGGTTGGACTGGATGGCCCATGAGGTCTCTTCCAACTCTTTGATTCTATGAGTCTAATGCACAGAGCA